GGGGAGATTGATTGATTGATTGATTGATTGATTGATTGATTTGTTGTTGTTGTTGATCTTTTGTAGTACATTATTGTCATGCTCCAATCTTTTGAACTTTCGAGGAGGAGGGGGAAGGCGCGCAGTGTGAGGAACGAGGTTCGAGGAGACGGGTAGGGAGAGGGATAGCGGGGATACGAGGTTCGGGGAGATAGGGGGAAGAGGGACGGGGAGAGGGGAGGCGCGGAGTGGGGGGAAGGAGGCTCGGGGAGGGAGGGATGGAGACTGGTGGGGAGTTTGGAAAGATAAGGGGGACGAGTGAAAGAGGGTCGGGATGGGGACTGGCGAGTACGTGGTTCGGGGAGGTCTGGGAGGAGGTTCGGTGAGGGAGGGGGAAGACGCGCAGTGTGAGGAACGAGGTTCGATACAAGGTTCGAGGAGGTCCGAGAGGACATTCGGGGAGGGAAGGGGAAGACGCGCGGTGGGAGGAACGAGGTTCGGGGAGATAGGGGGGGTTGGGAGGCTCAGGGAAATAGGGGGGACGAGGGAAAGATGGGGATAGGATGTTCGGGGAGGTGGCGGGGGACAAGCGGAGGTAGCCGGAGGTTCGGGAGGTAGGGGAAGGGTCGGGAGGTAGGGGAACAGGTAGAGGTAGGGGGGAAAGGCGGAGGTTGGGGGGACAGGCAGAGGTAGGGAGGTTTTGGGACAGGCAGCGGTAGGGGGAGGTTGGGGAGGTGATTGATTGATTGATTGATTGTGTGATTGATTGTTTGCTTGATTGTTTTAAGTGAGCAGATTGGTGGATGTGGATAAAGAGTGAACGAGGGAAAGCGTTGAGGGAGGGAGAGCATTGAGGGTTGGGGAGTGAACTGGCTTTAACCACTGTTGTTCCTTCCGCTTTCGTCGTTAGGCTGCAGGATGACGAAGAGTCGCAGTGAGCCCGTCAAGAAACACTTCACGGAGGTGGGAGACAACGGCAGAGCCGACAAGGGTAACAAACAACGGATCTGCAATTACTGTGACAAGCCTATGGCCGGGACAGTGAGCAGGGCAAGGGACCATTTCTTGAAGGGTTCGCGATGCGATGTCGAGCGCTTGCGAGGTGTTGTGTCGAGAGAAGAGTACTCGGGGAGGGTGAAGGGGAGATTGGTTGCGAGGTCGGAGTTGGGAGTCGCTATGGGAGAGACTGCAGAGGGGGAGTCGTCAGAGGACGACAACGAACAACGGACCGTGGAAGTCGGAGTAGTCGATCGATCGGAGTTTGAGGCGGGGCTCCGTCATGCGACTCCCCAGTCGTCCACAGGTGCAGTCGGCCTCCGTAAAACGACGATCGAGGACAACACTGTTGTATTCAGGGCGCACGAGTACACACAACGTACGATGGGTGACTGGATGACGACAGAATGCATCCCGTTCAATATGATGCGGACCGAGTACTGGGACAATATGGTGCATGCCCTCATGAACTCGCCCAAAGGATTTCGGTACGCGGAATTCGAGAATGCAAGGACGAAGGGGGTTGAAGTGACGAGGGGGAGGGTCGCGAAGAGTGTGGAGGAGTTGAGGCAGGAGTGACCAACCACTGGCTGCATGTTGCAGCTTGATGGTTGGACAGATCGCCGACAGAAACCACACATCAACTAGATGGTTTCCTTTCTGAAAGGCTCTATCTTTTGGCGAAGTGTGTGCATGTCATGACGCAACAAAGGCGCCTTGACATACTATGACATTTTGAAGAGGGCAATAGAGGAGATAGGTGCGGAGGCAGTGGTGGGGGTCGTTATGGATAATGCTACCGTTTGTGCAGCCGCAGGGCAAATGGTGGAAGCAGATTACCCACACATCTTCTCAGTCCAATGCGCAGCGCACTTGCTCAACCTTATTTTCGAGTCTTTTGCGAAGATCACGTGGGTGGGCGGAGTTATTAAAAAGGCGTCAGAGGTAGCAAAGTTTTTCACGAACCTTCGCGGGTGCGGGATCTCCTTATCCACTACTCCAATGGCGGTGTCGTGGAAAAAAGGGTGCGAGCCGATTTGCCACAAACTTCATCATGTTGTCGAGCCTGCAGGGGTTATACTTGCTGCTCCGAGCGTGTGTGACAGATGATGACTGAAAGTCATCGATTTTGCACACTTCGCAACACGAACTGTTTTTGAGGGTGACGCATTCCATCTTCAACGACACCTTCTGGGCAGATATCGAGAAGGTGATGCAAACGTCCAAGCACCTCCTCAAGCTTTTAAAGTTGGTCGACGACACGAGTCCCACCATCAGTAAGGTGTATGCCCGTATGGACAGCGCAGTTGAGAAACTGAGGGAGAGCACACACTTTACGGAAGCGAAAAATGATGAGCTAGAGACTATCATCATGCAACCACTGCATTATGCTGCGCTATTTTTGGATCCGGAGTATAGAGCGTCGCGGCCGGAAATGGGGAAGAAGGTTAACAACTCGTAATATTTTCAGGTCCTTTTTTAGCTCCCCATAGTATACCCATCCAAGCATCTGGACGGGGGAACCTGAAACCGCATTCAGAAGCTTCAACCACTTCATATCATTTCAGAGGTTTGAGGTCTCTCCATCTGAAACTCCCGAAATGATCTAAAGTGGCTGAAAATCTGAAAGCAGTTTCAGGTCCCCCCATCCAAGCATTTGGATGGGGGGACCTGAAACCTCTTCCAGAAGATTTAGCCACTTCAAATCATTTCAGAGATTTCAGGTCTCCCCACCCGAAAGTCCTGAAATGATCTGAAGTTGCTGAAAATTTGAAAGCGGATTCAGATGCCCCCATCCAAGCACTTGGATTGGGGGACCTGAAACCACTTTTAGAAGCTTCGGCCACTTCAGATCATTTCAAAGGTTTCAGGTCTCTCCATCTGAAACTCCTGAAATAATATGAAATGGATGAAGCTTCTGAACCCATCCAAGCATTTGGACGGGGGGACATGAAACTGCTTTCAGAAGCTTCAGCCACTTCATATCATTTCAGAAGTTTCAGATCTCCCCACCTTAAACTCCTGAATGGAGAGAAGGTTATCCATCTGAAACTCCTGAAATGATCTGAAGTGGGTGAAAATCTGAAAGCAGTTTCAGGTCCCCCCATCCAAGCATTTGGACGAGGGGACCTGAAACCTCTTTCATAAGCTTCAGCCACTTCAAATCATTTCAGAGATTTCAGGTCTCCCCACCCGAAACTCCTGAAATGATCCGTAGTCGCTGAAAATCTGAAAGCGGTTTCAGATGTCCCCATCCAAACATTTTGATGGGGGGACCTGAAACCACTTTCAGAAGCTTCAACCACTTCAGATAATTTCAGAGGTTTCAGGTCTCTCCATCTGAAACTCTTGAAATAATATGAAGTGGCTGAAGTTTCTGAAAGCGGTTTCATGTCCCCCCATCCAAGCATTTGGACGGAGGGACCTGAAACTGCTTATTTCAGAGGTCTTAGGTCTCCCCACCTGAAACTCCTGAAATGATCTGAAGTGGCTGAAAATGTGAAAGCGGTTTCAGATGCCCCCATCCAACCATTTGGATAAGGGGACCTGAAACCACTTTCAGAAGCTTCAGCCACTTCAAATCATTTCAGAGGTTTCCGGTCTTTCCATCTGAAACTCCTGAAATGATATGAAGTGGCTGAAGCTTATGAAAGCAGTTTCAGGTCCCCACATCCAAGCATTTGGACGGGGGGAACTGAATCCACTTTCAGAAGCTTCAGTCACTTCATATCATTTCAGAGGTTTCGGGTCTTCCCACCTGAAACCTTTGAAATGATCTGAAGTGGCTGAAAATCTGGAAGCGGTTTCAGATGCCCCATCCCACTATTTCGATGGGGGGACTTGAAACCACTTTCAGAAGCTTCAACCACTTCAGATCATTTAAGAGGTTTCAGGTCTTTCTATCTGAAACTCCTGAAATGATCTGAAGTGGCTGAAAATCTGAAAGTAGTTTCAGGTCCCCTCATCTAATCATTTGGACGGGGGGACCTGAAACCGCTTTCAGAAGTTTCAGCCACTTCATATCATTTCAGAGGTTTCATGTCTCCCCACCCGAAATTCCAGAAATGACTTGAAGTGGCTGAAAATTTGAAAACGGTTTACGAACCACTTCAGAACATTTCAGAGGTTTCAGGTCTCCCCGCTCGAAACTCCTGAAATAACATGAAGTGGCTGAAGATTCTGAAAGCGGTTTCAAGTCCCCCTACCCAAACATTTGGATGGGGGGACCTGAAACCACTTTCAGAAGTTTCAGCCACTTCAGGTCCTTTCAGAGGTTTCAGGTCTCCCCACCCGAAACTCCTGAAATGACTTGAAGTGGCTGAAAATATGAAAACAGTTTCAGATGTCCCAATCCAAAAATTTGGATGGGAGGATTTGAAACCGCTTTCAGAAGTTTCAGCCACTTCAGGTCAGTTCAGAGGTTTCCGGTTTCCCTCCCGAAACTCCTGAAATGACTTGAAGTGACACACAACAACGTTGACGGTTGAACCAAAAAAAAAGCAGGCGAAAAAAAAACAAAAAAAAAAACAAAAACATAAAATCTGACTTTCAAACCATATGAATCTCCTGAAATGACTTGAAGTGTGTTCATGCCATTTCAGCGATTTCATACCTCTGCTAACAGACTTCAGAATCTTTCATTCTGAAATTTCTGTAGGTCATTAACCACTTGTGGAAAATGGATGCAGAGATTATGAACGGGTTTTGGACATGGCTTTAGTAGTGGTGTAAGGAGGCTATGTATATGGAGGTTGACGCGGAGGTTTGTTCTTGGATCGAGGGCACCGGGAAACACACTACCGAAAATGCAAGGACAAAAGCCCGTACGATGCAGCCGACGAGGTGGTGGCGGAAGTGGTGCAGTGACATGCCCATTCTCCAAAAACAAGTTGTTCGCCTCCTTGAACAAGCCTCCTCCTCTTCTAGTTCCAAGAGGAATTGGAGCTTGTTCGAACAGATTCACATTTGTCTCCGCAGCAATCTTGGTGCCATCAAGCTAAGCACGCTGGTTTTCAACAGATGGAACCAGCACTTGTTGGACTTCTTGACCAAGAAACCGAAGGCCGACGATTCAACGAAGTGGGAAGCGGATGAACCGGTGGAAGATCTCACACGAGATGAGATGGCGTCAGATGCACTCCTATGGTTAGGGGAGTGGCATGCCCGGTTGCGCGGAACACATTCTGTTCACGATGAAGGTAAGAATGGCGACTCGGGCTCCGACGAGGAGGACATTCCTGTCCAAGCACAACAAACGGCTGTTGAGGAGGAGGTCACAGTTCAGCATCGTCGGCTGCACAATGATTTGTTCGAGCTCGAGAGGGAGTTCAACGAGTCGTGGAGGAAGGCCACGAAGGCTTCCAAGTTTTTGGCCCGACTACATTTGCATGATTTGGATCAGGTTACTAGGACCATGACCCTCGAGCATGCCAACAAGTACAAAGTTGTGTGGGTAGCTGCATGTGCACCACCCGCAGTACCACCCAAACGAGGGAGAGGGAGACCTCGAAAGGACGCTGCGACTCATGGGGGAACAGGTGATGAGGAAATTGAGGATGTGGAAGGTGGACATTTGGAAGGGGGTCCTGCACCCGCACGTGCGACAAGAAAGCGGGGACGACTGCGGAAGGCGCCTGTGGAAGAGGAGGAGGCTGAAACTAGAAGGGGGACACGAAAGCGGGGACGTTTGCAAAAGCAACCCGTCGAAGAGGAGGAGGAAGCAGCGCTTGAAAAAACGAGCTACGCTGACAAACATGGCAGCAACGACGGAAGCAGCAACAGCGATGAAAGCGGGGCTGAGCATGATGAAAATGACTGGAGCGGCCACAGCGAAAGTGCATGTGATGGCAGCGGCAGCAGCGATGAAAGTGAAGGTGGTCGTGGCAGCAGCGATAGCAGCAAGAAAGATGGGAGGTCGTCGGAGGAAGAGAATAACTCCGAATGGGAAGGCCGAAAGGAAGATGGGAGTTCGTCGGAGGCAGAGGACAACTCCGAATTACAGCGCAGTCAGACATTACGCTGGAGAGAGAGAGAGAGAGAGAGAGAGAGAGAGAGAGAGAGAGAGAGAGAGAGAGAGAGAGAGACCATTTTCGGATGTGTTTGTTGAACTTTCTTCTGTTGAAAATTGATATTTTTTGTTGGATTTCGTTCAACAGGAGAACTCTTTCAACTTTTGCATTCAGAAAGTTCAAACTACATTTGCTGGTTGTGCCTGTTGAATATGTTCGTTGAGTGTGTTTGTTTAATCAACTTGAATATGTTTGTTGAATGTGTCTTGTTAAGGCCTTGCACTGTCTGTCTTTGTTGAACTTTGTCGTGTTTCTTTAATGTAATGTGTTTGCCCAACAGTCCAACTTCGTTGATCACTTGTTTAATGAACTGTAAATAGTCTGATGCATGTGCTCCGCCACGAAGTGCGAACCAGGTGAGCTCCCTCCCCGCCTTTTTTTTTTTTTCTGGACATTTTGTCCCTGCCAACACAGTCTCGACAGTCTAGTGTTCGGTGATGTCCGGTGTCCGATGATGTCTGATGTCCGGTGATGTTTGGACTGGTCCAGACACAAGTCCGGAAAACAGCCCGAAGTATCCGGTGTCCGGGTGTGCGGTTACCATGAGAAAAAAAAAAAAAAATCAAAGTTGTGGGGGAAAAGGGGATGAAAAAATGAAGAAGGAAGAGAGAAATAAGTGAGAAAGAGAAAAAGGATGAAAGTGGAAGGTGGAAGGATGATGGGGTTATAGTTGGGGGAGAGGAGGGTGAAAGAATGGGAGAGAAATGGATGGGAAAGGTGGACAAGGATCAAGAAGCAAAGAGAAAAGAGGAGGAAAAAAAAGAAAATAAATGAATAAAATAGAGTAAAATAATGGGTGGTGGGAGAAAAGGTGGGGTGGGGAAGCTAAAAAGAGGAGGGGAACGAGGTAGTGAAAGGTGGGGAGAAAAAAAGGGGTTGAGGAGCGAAATAAGAAGGGGAGAAGGAAAAAGTTGAGAAAGGTGGGGAGAGGGGTATGAGTAGTGAGAGTGATTAGAGGGAAGTGAGTGAGGTAGAAGAGGAAGTAGTAGAGGGGGTGAGGAGAGAGAAAAGGTAGAGAAAGTGGATTAGTAGGGATAGGGAAGGAGGAGCTAATACCTTGCCCTTGGTGTCTCCAAGGTCACAAGGTATACCAAGACCAGGAGGGTCTTGGCCTTCGCTGCAGCAAGCCAGCTGGAGGAGAGAGGGGGGTGAGATCTTGATCAGCCCCTAGCAGCAGTACTGCAGATCCAGGGTATGTCGTGTGAGCAGACCCTCGCCAGTGTAGAGCAGCCCCCTGATCAGTGGGGTCTTCAGCTCCACAGCAAGCTGCCACGTGGCATTACAGATGGTCACGTGTGCAGGCAGCAGCAGCCACGAGGGGGGGGAGGGAAGGGGAATAGCAGCCCGGCCCTTGCTGCCCTGCTGGCCGCTGCGCGCCACTGGGGGGGGGTTGGGGGGGAGGGGCTACATAGTTGGCACATCACTTTTTCAACACCAGCGTGCTGCAGTACAAAGCCATACACACATTGTGGCCAGTGTGTTATAGCAGCAGTCACGCACGCGCATGGCCAGCAGCTGCCCAGGTGCAGACCCTGGCAGTAGCATGCATCCCAGATCTAGATATAACTAATCTGGAGGCGGGGCAGCGTGGGCACGTGGCGCGTGCGTGTATGTGTGCGTGTGCGGCGACGTTGGCCGCCACGTAATAATCCCCGTCTCTCTTTTCTCGCCACGTGTCACTTGTTCCCTGTTGCACCTTTCTTCACGCTTTCCCGCTGTTTTTCACTGCAAACGGTCGAAAAACAGCCAAAAAAACCAGTGTCGGGTTTTGCAGTATCTCCTGCTATAAGGTGTGGTGGGTGGGAGCGAGGAACGTTCCCGCTCTGATACCAGTGTGGCGGACCCACAGGGTGAGGTGTTCCACCTGGGATAGAGATGGAGATGGAGGATGAAGGTGGAGCAAGATGGCACAACACTGCTCCCATGCGAGACTCCAACGCATGTACTCCAAACTGTGCGAATGTAGAATGACCCAAAATACAGACTCTAGTTGAGGTATACCCCAATGGACTGACTTGACTGGACTGGACTGGCTGGTATCGACAGAGGTACCGACCTGGATTGGACCACCCTGAATACAACACAGACCTATGAGAACATTGGTTTTGTTTCTCAACCATTCTCTCTCCTTGAGCCTGATGAGCTATCCCACCTTCATGTGTAACTGCCCTTAGGAGTTTCGATTCTTAGGTTGCATTCAACCCCTCTGAAACCATCCCACTCTTAGTGGTTCAAGGACATAACATTACTTGTGACATATTGCTCTTTCCCCTTTCCGCACTGAGGTCATTGCCTCTAGGACTCCAGGATTGTATCATGCTACATTTCATTTTCTGCTGATAGTTAGGATGTGTACACCAGACATTTATTTTTCAATTGACATTATGTAGCTTAGGTTGCATCGCATGGACTCCGGATGGAGCGCGCTCCGTATCCTAGATTTCTCATATTTCCTTATTGCAGAGTTCCACTGTTTTTGTGGATAGCATGTTTATGGCTCTTGCAATCCATTACAGGTCTGAGGATTGTGCAGCGGGTCTCCATCTTGTCCCTGCCAACACAGTCCGGACAGTCTGGTGTCCGATGATATCCGGTGTCCGATGATGTCTGATGTCCAGTGATGTCCGGACTGGTCTAAACACAGGTCCGAAAAACAGCTCGAAGTGTCCGGTGTCCAGGTGTGCGGTTACCATGAGAAAAACAAAACAAAAATCGAAGTTGGGGGGGAAAAGGGGATGAAAAAGTGAAAAAGGAAGAGAGAATTTGGTGAGAAAGAGAAAAAGAATGGAAGTGGAAGGTGGGGGGATGATGGGGTTGTAGTTGGGGGAGAGGAGGGTGAGAGAATGAGAGAGAAATGGATGGGAAAGGTAGAGAAGGATCAAGAAGCAATGAGAAAAGAGGATGTTACGGACTTCGCCAGGGCTCGATCCCTGGTCTATCTTTTGCTGTTTTGGCTGCATCCCGTTCTCGGCCTGGCACCCTTTTTCCAAACCCCTCCTTTGGTACCATAGGATTTTGGACAACTGGCGCCATGCTGCAATTCGGGCGCCACTTTCAAATACTGCATTTTTCAGTTCTGCCCTCGGGGCCTTTGTAGAAATGCCCCTGGTACCGTACGTGTCACCGGTACTTATACCGGCTCCCCGTACGGTACGGGGGGCAGTCTCGTACCAGTTATCTGCTGTTGTACTCGTACTCAGTGTGACTTGTTGTTTCGGCATTCGGAATCCAAGACTTCGACTTTGTGCCTTACCACTGTGTCTGCGTCCGACCCTCAGTCCGAGTCCGTCGAGTCGAGTGAGTGAGTGTGTGTGTGTGCTTTCACTCTCTCCCTCTCTCTCCTCTCCCTCGGCTCACCCTCAGCCTCACGCTCGTTACACTGGTATCGGAGCGGTTCGAACCCGCCCGACCCACCCTGCTTCGAYGTCGTCACCTGACCATCATCAACATCATCGTCGAGATCGTCGCCGTCGTGCCACGTCATCATCGTCATCATCGTGATCGTCGTCATTGTGCCCCGTTATCATCATCACGGACGGGATCGCCGCCGTCGCGCCACGTCATCACCACCATGACCCGTCGTCCTCGTCGCTGCGCCGCGCCGTCCTTATCATCGTCGTCGTTCCCGTCACGCAAATAAGTAATCAACGACAGTTTTATTTTTTTATTTTTTTTCCTTTCTTATCTTCCTTCCTCGTTTCTTTTCTTCTTCTTCTTCTTCTTCTTCTTCTCCTCTCCCGCTGTCGCGATCCCCCCCGATCCCAATCTCCCGCCCCTCCGGATCCCATCTTTCACCCCCCCGCCGACCTCCTCC